GATAATAAAATTTGGTTGTTTAAAGCCTCTAATTTTGTAATAATTTGCTACATCAGCAAATGAAAACAACATTACGAAACTCTATCAAAACCATAGAACTGTACTCCAAAAGTGAGATGACCAAACACATTTCAGAAGAAAAAAAATGTTGTTCTTACTGTGAAAGAGCTGTGATTAATACAGACCAAAGGAAAAATTCTAGTGTACAGCTTCAGACCTTAATCTCAAAAATGGCAACTCAGTTTGGATTTGGTCTCTGTCCTGGCCCTCTCTTTTGTGTCTATACACCAATGAGAACTAATATAAGCTTCCTGATGACCAACACCACTCCACACACCTCTCAGCTGCCCAGTTCAGGGTGCAGAGATATTTTACTTGGGTTCTCAAAGATTTCAGAACCTGGACTGGCAAGAGGGCTCAGGGGTAGAGTGCTTGCCTTGCATGCATGAGGCCCTGGGTTTGATTTTTCAGCACCACATAAGCAGAAAAAGCTAGAAGTGGTGCTATGGTTCAAGTGGTGGAGTGCTAGCCTTGAACTGAAGAACTGAGGGACAGCACCCAGGCCCAGAGTTCAGGCCCCATAACTGACCAAAAAAAGGGGAGGAGGGGCTGGGAAGTTGGCTCAGTGGTAGAATGCTTGCCTTGCATACATGAGGTCCTGGGTTGGACTCCTCAGCACCATATAAGCAGAAAAAAGCTGGAAGGGGTGCTATGGCTCAAGTGGTAGGGCGCTAGCCTTGAGCTGAAGAGCTGAGGCACAGTGCCAAGGCCCAGAGTTCAAGGCCCCATACAGCTTGGGGGAGTTTGGGGGGGGCGGGGTGTCAGAACTTAAATCATCAATCTTTAAAGACCCTCCCATTCTCAGGACTACAAACAGAACACCCAACAAGAGGAAGCTGAAGTGGAAAGGATTATTTCAAATACCAGGAACCTGCCAAGTCTAAAATCTTCTATCAAAAAATCTTCAAAGCCAAGAGGCAGAGCCTGAGCTACTAGATGACTCAATGAGATTTTTAGCAGATAATGGCAGTATGCTCTGAGAAATGCTACAAATCCAATACTTTTCTCTGAAGAATTATGTGTTACTGGAGTTAGCCCCTTTTCTAAGCACCAGCCTGCCCCAACCTCTATTTCTTGCTCATCATCAGTGCCCTTAGCTCTCCTCATTTCCAAAATAAATGAATGTAATCCTTTCCTTTAGCCTATGTTCTTTTACCAAGCCTAATCAGAGGAAGAGCATTCTGGAAAATTCTTTTGTTTGTTTGTTTGCTTTTAACTCTCCATTCCCTATAGTCAAACAAACATCCATAAAATGAAGATGTCAAAGTAAAGATTTCCAGACTGGACAGAGAACAGTAATTATTTAAATATCTTCTACAGATAAGGACCTGGGAAACACAAAGAAGCCTTGTCTTACCACATGACTTACAATGTCACTAGATGGTTCATTAGAGCTAACAATAATCTAATGAAAACCAGGAACTTTAGCTCATGCCTGTAATCCCCTCAGGAGGTGGAGAGTAGGAGGATGGTGGTTCAAGACCAACTCAGGTAAAAAGTTAGCAAGAGCCAATTTCAAGAAATAAACCAGTGTGATGGGGAGAGCTTGTACCCCAAGCTTCTCAGAAGGCTGCAGACAGGAAAAATTTCAGTCAGAGGCTGACCTCAGCTAAAAATACAGGATCCTATCTGAAAAAAACTAATAGCAATAAAGGGCTGTAGTTGTGGTTCAAGTGATGAGAGTTCCTTCCTAGCAAATTCAAACATCTGAGCTCAAACACCAGTACCACCAAAAATCATCAGCATCATCAGCATCATCACCATCACCATCATCAGAAAAAAAATATGAGATCATATACAAAACAGGTGTGCAAAGTTTGTGACTGGGAAGATCACAGGGGAGAAGTTTTGCATTAAAGCTGAAAGAAATGCAGAAATGAAAAAAATCATTTGTCCAAGATAGCACATTTTTCTAAAAAGAGAAATACAGAAAGACCACCTGCAATATCTCTCTTATCATCTACCTCCCTAAGAAATGACAGGAATTCAAAGTGTTCAGAAAGAATCTCCAGGACTCTAAATTTGCACTGTTAATTGCACCAAAATTCATTCTTGATTGGTCCCTGCTGAGAGAAAATGACCACATTTCTGAAAGACTCAAGTTCCTGTGGTCAAACTTATCCTGTGTACATCTTGGAAAGTTGTACCACCTGAGACAGTCTCTATGTACAATTGAGCCATATGGGCTGGTACCAACTACATTGACTTGGATCCTTTCTATCTGACTAAAGCATAACACAGGCTGCCAGGACTGAAAAGACCTAGCACTAGCACCAGGCACCCCAAGCCACAACATCCTTTAGCACCCAGCTACGCTCTGTTCTGTACACTCACTCACCAAAGCAAGTATAAAATAGCATTCACAACAGCACTAACTAGACCCAGAATTGAATCTATCAAGTTATCTCTTATTAGTTCATAGGTAAATAAATTACAGTATATCCATATTATGAAATGTTGACTACTGAACAAAAAGGACAGATTTGAGAAGCACACTGTTGGTTGCAAGAAAGCAGACAATGTAACTAAAGTTTGTAAAAAGAAAACAAGAAAGATTATGGCATCAGAAATCAGAATACTACCACCCAGGGATAAGAAGTTAGGGACTGGGATGAATACCAAGAAAGAACACGTGATAGGGTATGGAAACGTCTGTTTGTCTGAAAAGTCGTTATAGGGAGCTTTTAGTTTGTGGAAAGTCATCAAACTGTGCAAACAATTAATGCTTTTCTACACAAATGTTTTCCTTCAACTAACAGTTGATCTTTGAAAAAAACTGTGTTACATTGAAGGTTTATAGTAGTACGAACAAAAATCATTCTACAATTGAAGAGCAACATGTGTGTTCATATCCATAAGTTTTGTTTAAATTTCTTTATGTGAGAGTCTCCTTTGATTTATTTAGTCAATAACATGTATATTTAGATGGGGAAGAAGCATATATTCATGGTAATGTCAGAATAGTAAACACTAAACATCTGCTCTGGACTCAAATCAAAGCTGATTACTCCCTTTTATTTGAAAGAAAGAAGGGAAGGGAAAAGGAGGCAGGTGAGTACAACAAGCAGCAGGAGAAAGTGGAAAGGAGTTCAGGCCCTTGAGAACGTCTGAGAGAGAATGGGTGAGAACAAGGTCACCAGAACCTGTGTTCTGATGCGGCACAAGGTTTTGTTAGACATTTTGTCACAAGCCAAGGACCAGGGACTAGATGTCCCAGCAACTCCCACTCCATGTGAACCACAAGCTTGGCTCAAGAAACAGTAGGTCGGCCTGTGGACAGATAACTGGCTGGGAGTGCAAACCCCAACGGACTGCTGTGGTCCAGGTTGCTACCCCGTCTACTCTGTTAACTCTATCATTTCCCTCCTGTTTAATAATCACACTTCTTCTCTGCCACCAAGCAGAGAGAAAATCCCTTTCCTGCCTCTTAGGTTGGGTCTCTGAGTGAGTGTCCATCCGTATAGTATTTGGAAGTCAGGGTTTGGGGATGACGATGAAAATGGTTCCCCTAGCATGGAGAGAGCCTGCCTGCCGGTACAACCAGCACCTGCTAGTCGGGGTGGCCCTTCGCAGGGACTGCGGCAGCCAACCTTGGCAAAGATGCTCGGGGCACGCTCGGCCAGGAAACAGTCGATCTCTGGCTCATGAAGAAGGCCACCATTCACCAGCGATGCCCTCAGAAAAGTGTCACCTGTCAATCACTTGACCTAAATACACCAGTCACTAGGGGAATGGAGGGGGGGGGGGGGTTAGTTGGAGCATGCTCAGTGATTGGGATGACATCACTTAATCAATGCTAGGGACGGGAAGGCTGCATCAGCAGCCTGGAGCGGGCTGCCAGGAACGTGTCAGCGGGGACCAGGAGACTCAGATTAACTCAGTCCCTCCCTCCCCCGCGGCTCACATACAAAGGGAGCCCCAAGGACCACACACCCTAGGGACAGCTGAAGGGGAAGGGGCGGGTGTGGGTGTAAAAAGCTGGTTGGTTTCACCTGACAAATTCCTTTAAGAGCCAAAAACTGCGGGTATCCCCTCCCCCCCCCCCCCCCCCCCCGCCATCAGTCCGGGCTGCAAGACTGGGAGCTAAGGTGGGGGAGGGGGAGAAAAGCTGGAGAAGGGGTATCAAGAGGTGACCCCCCCCCCCCCAGCCACACAAAGTAACTTCTACTCCGGGCACCGAGGGGGCTATTAGGCCTCACTCTGGGCTCCCTTGCCCCAAGGAGGTGGACAGTCTCCTCTCCACCCTCTCCAAAGCCCACCCCTGGGTCTGCAGACACCAGGAGTGGGGAGTGGGGTGGGACCCGAACCAGGAGGGTTCACACCCAGTGCAGCCTGGGGTAACAGAAACAGGAGACACACCGGGCAGCCAGGGACGCCAAGAGCATTAGTGAAGCCCCTCGGGCCGGCTTCCACGCGCGAAACAAGGTGAAACCACGTCTCCATGGCCGCGAGGGTGGTTCTGCCTCCCCAGCCCCCTCCTTGCTTTTTCGCGAAGGTCTTAGGAAGGGACAACCCGAACGCACGCCTGGAAGCTTCTGTGGGTGGCAAACCTCATACTTTGAAGAGGAGCCCGTGGGCTCGGCTTGCGGGTAACCCGAACACACTACCCGCGCGGTGGAGAGTGCGGGAACAATAGGTCCACCCGGGCCCCCACCCCGCCAACAATGGCGGATCCCAGCCCTGCCTCGCCCCCACCCCCACTCCGCCACGAAGGGCTCGCCCCACGGCCCGCAGCCGCCCCTCCACCCCGGGCGGCGCGAGCAGCGCGGAGCCTCGCGTTCTGTCCACGCGGGTGGGAACAGCCCCGCAGAGAGGTCCGAAGGGGCGGCCCGGACGCCTCGGCTCGGTCTGGGGTGGGAGGTGGGGGGGGACCTCGGGGCGCCCGGCCGCGGCGCGAAGCGGGGAGGGAGGGAAGGAGGCCAGGCTCCCCGGCCACTTACCCCGATCACCACGGTCTCGTCGCCTTTGAATTTGGGGATGAATTTGTCCCCGCGGAGAATCTCCGCCTCGTTGAGCGGCCGGAACCGGCACATCACTTTGATGCTGCATTCGGCTGGATCCGCCATCTCGGCTGGCGGCAGGGAGGGGTGCGGGGATGGGTGGGGGGTCGGGCTGGGCAAGACGAGCGAGGAGGCCGCGCACCGCACCGCACCGCACCGCCCCGCCCGCAGCTAGGCCGCCTCCCGCAGCCTCCCACCAGGCTTCTCAGCAGGTCATCGCGAACCCGGCGGGCTCGGCAGCTCCACGACCCCGCAGCAGGGCAAGCCTACCAGCCTCCGGCCCCCCGCCGCCTGCAGACCTCCGGCCCCGGCCCTGCCCGTGCGCCCCCGGCCCACCTGCCCGCGACCACACGGCGGCCAGCGGACAAGGCGATGCGCGGGGAGCGAGCCTGGCCCGGGCTCAGACCTCCCGGGCTCCGGCGCGCTCAGCCATCCTGCATCAGCACCAGCGCGCACCACGGCCTCCGGGCCCGCCCCTCCGCCCCGCCCTCCCGGCGGCTCCGCCCCGCCCCGGGGCGGTGACGTCACTGCAGAGCTACGCCCCGCCCCGCCCCAGGTCGGAGCGCGGCGCATCCCGGGATTTGTAGTCCCTCCACCTGCAGGTGGCACTTGTCCGGTGACAACGTAGGGAGCCTTGATCGCAACCTCAGAGAGCTGCAAGTCTTACCTAGCTGCTCAGGCCAAGAACAGAATTGAGGTCATATTCATCATCTCCCAGTTGAAATCTCTATAAATACCAAGGTCGGTGTCATCACGTAACTGCAGACACCACGTAGCCTCAGTTAAATTGGACACTGTGTATGGTGAAGAATTTCATAAGACTTCTGAGGGAAAACGAGTAAAATGAGTTGTGCGTGGATATTTGGAAGCTAACTATGCTGGTATATAGATAGCCATGTGGAACATATTTTAGGTCAGGGACTCCTTTCATAGCTGGTGAGGACTAGCAGGCTTTTCGATTGCAAAAACAAAACAAAAACCAAATCCACACCACTAACTAAGCATTGTATCCCAGAGATTTTTAGAAACAACTGAGGCCTGTCCCTGAATCTCATGTTAAGAATCTCAGCCATACTTAAAGATAATCAAGAACCTCAGTGAGACATGGTGGGATGCCTATAGCTCCAGCACTCTGGAGGTGAAGATGGGAAGATTACAAGTTTGAGGACCTGTCCTGAGAGACCCTGTCCCAAACCAACAAACAAAAAACGTTTACTCAGTTACTATGACAAGTAGTCCATTTTGAGGAACTCTTATTTAGAACCCTACAGAATGATCAGGATGTGTACAAAATCAGGTCCAAAGTTCTATATTCACCCCATGATCAGATTTCTGCCTCCTACTTACTTATTCTCATCTCTTGCCACTTCTTGTCTTGATGTTTATATTCTGACATATACTAAGCTGGCAAATTCCTCCATTCAAGTCATTCCCCAATTGCCTTCCTGAAGTCATCCATTCCACTAATAATTAAGACCAGTAGTCAGCAGACCACTAGAAAGTAAGCATATTAGGGCTTTTGAGCTAGAAAGTGATAAAAACCTGACTCAAGCTAGTGAGACAAAAGGAGAATTTATACAAACACAAACTGATCTTGCTTATTAAAGATGTAATCGCTGAGCTAGAGATATCAGGACTACCTCACAGCCTGCTCTCTCTGTGCATTGGCCTCACTCATTCTCACCCAAGACAAATCCTCCACACACCCAGAATCGTAATCACCAACAGATTTTGGGTATTAACTTCTCCCACTTAAGAAGGATAGAATATTTTTTCAGAGTTCTGTTAGTATAAAAAAGAAAGTCTGTGAATGGCCTGGGCATGAACTGGTGTCTACTTCTAGGTCAGTCAACCAGAGTCAGGGACTTTATAAGCTCATGAAGGAATTCTATTGTGTGAAGGCTCCTGAAAGGAAGATGCTATTCTCACAAGAGAGCAGTGCCATGCCAACGGAACAATTATATGTCCACTCTAAATCTCCAGCATTAGATTTTTCCCTCTAAGCCTCAGCTTAATCATCGTCCCTCAGGAAGTCCTGTCTGACTGCTGAAACAGCCGCATATGACTGGTGGTCCTCCCTTACATGCCCAGTCTCCTCTATCTAGCTCTATCACTGTATTTTGGTGGTGAAATTTGTCTCACTTCTGGGTTTCTAGAAGTGAGCACATAGTTGGCAGCATGCTAAATACAGAATGTACCATAGGAGAAAGTGGCATCTGTCTGTAGGTCCCACGGCTGCTACTTGCTTAGATATGTAACCAGTAGCAAGACTTAATGGGCTTAAAACTCAGTTTTCTCAGCCAGGAGCTGGTGGCTCACACCTAAAATCCTAGATGCTCAGAAGGCTGAGATGTGAGGATCACTGTTTGAAGCCAGCCCAGGCAGAAAAGATGAAAGAGGAGGTGTGGCTCAAGTGATAGACTGCCAGCCTCAAGTGAAAACACCAACACAGGGTAGGAGGACCGGAGTTCAAGCCCCAATACCAGGGGGGAAAATACCCCAGTTTTCTCTTCCACATCATTGGAATAACAATATTATGTCAGCCGCGTGGCGGTGGCTCACGCCTGTAATCCTAGCTACTGAGGAGGCTGAGATCTGAGGATCACGGTTCAAAGCCAGCCCGGGCAGAAAAGTCCGTGAGACTCTTCTCTCCAATAAACCACTCGAAAACCGGAAGTGGCGCTGTGACTCAAGTGGTAGAGCGCTCTCCTTGAGCTGATGAGCGCAGAGACAGAGCCCAGGCCCAGAGTTCAAGCCCCATGACTGACAAAATGCAAAAAAAACAATAAAACAATATTATGTCAGAAGTTGTGGGCAAATTAGAAGCAATAATGCTTCTAAAGCACCCAGCATGGTGCCTGACATATATGTAGTATAAACTCTTCAATTTTAGATGATGCTGTTATTACTAGTTGTTGAATAAATGACTATAAAAATAATTGGTGGTTTAGCTAATTTAAGAAATATATATCTTGCTTA